GTTGTCTTGTCGCTTCTTTTCAAATGTTAGAATAATATAGAAATATTGATATTTTTCTAATGTAGTCTACAATTTTATTATATATCTCGGTCAATCATAAGCTCTTTATGAGCATTGATCATGTAATCTCAACTTTGTAACTAAAAGCATTATTATTAAGGAGAGTCAAGAGAATTTGAGAAGGAAAATGATTTATACATAAAGTGAAAAATTAAAGGAAAAGAAATAATTTGTAATGAGTATTTCAGCTTTCACCTACATTAATGAATTTTAGTTCAATTCTCCATAAAAGGGATAAGAATTTCCAAACATTCTAAAATGTTTATAAATACTGTAGAATATTTTGATTTTAAAAAAAAAACTTCCATATATAATTATTGTAGAACTTTTTTAAAGGAAAAGTCTCTTTTCATATCAAAATCATCTATGTGGTTCGTTTTAGGATGTGACCACTATAAATAAGGCAAGTCTTTGTAATTTTTAAGCCAATGAGTCATGGAAGAAATAATAAGAAATGCAAAACTTTATAATGATTTGTAAGACGATTGAGTGAATTGAAGTAAGTCTTGCTTGGTGATAATGAATTCTTGTTCAAATATCTGTCGAGAATTCAATATAGATTTCAACAATTTTGAGATCGAGAAGAGAAAAATTAACGATGTTGCAAGACCTTTTGGTGCCCAAATAAATTGTCTTTTTGAAGGATTCACATAACAGAATTCACAAACAAGTATTTAGTTAATACCATATAAATAATCGACATATAAGGCAAAACATATAAACCAAGTACAATTAATTCACTAGAGATTCAACTGCACCCACATTAATCTTGCTCCAAACAGGTCATTTTCTTTCGTAAAAATTCACCAACTTAAGACAAATAGAAATTCACCACACAACGTCTCAATCATTTTAGAGCAACATTAAAAATAACACCATATATTGAATCTTAAAATCCGTCGGGATCTAGCAAATAAGAAACGAACGCAAAAATTATAAGATAAAATTCCCCACAAGAACAAAAATATGAAAACCAACCCAAGAACAAGAATCAATGATTAGCAAATGATGAACGTAAAGATATACAGAAGGACAATATTTAATACATGAAAAGAACATGGAGCAGTCAAAATTATGGTAGAAGAAAGGAGATTTTTATCAAACCCTCTTAGATTAATTTCTCGTTAATGGCTTTTTCCAATTGAAATAAACATTGACTAGTGAGTTGTGATCCACTGATGTTCCATTGAAATATCTCAAAGCAAAAATCGTGTTCTTCAACCGTAATTAAAGAGAACACACGTGTGCGTGAATGATATAATCATATTCAAAGATCAGGTTAGTTGACGTGAGTTAAGATTGGTGAATCTTAAATCAAGTGATAGTTGCGACTAAATACAATAATGAAGTGGTGATAAAGTTACAACCAGAAGGTTTGATTCCACATTTTCAACAAATCAGAAGGAATAAGAAAATGAGGGAGTTATTCTTTATTTGCTTTTGATTATTTTAATTAATTTTGCGAAATTCCTAAATCGAAATTATTGTATATTTGATTCTTTGATAATAGATTATTTTACTCGTGGCATGGGGCCCGTTGATGTTTTCCTTAAGAGTTAACAATGTTATATCCGGTGTTCTTACTATTTATTTCCGCAATTGATAATAACTCGTAGAACACTAAACTGTTTAGTTGTGCCAGTCATAACTGTATTTAAAACTATTTGTAGGAAGTTCTAACTGACTAACGAAACTTGTCTAAAACGAATAATTGAAACAAATTGTTAAATTAACTAGGTTTTAGTATTTACATGTATAAATCTCAGTTCATGGTATCCAATCAAATGACTAACAGTATAGATATAAATATATGAATGAGCTTGATTAAAAAAAAAAAAAGAGAAGTGATATTCAGTAAAAATGAATTTCATGGTATTGAACCATAGAATTAACACACGTGAGAGATATTTCTGATGAATCCCAAATCATACTCCTCCGATGACTCTGTTCAGCTGTTCCATTACTTTTGAAATTATATTTTACACCAATGTGTTAACTGACGGATGATTATGATGATGGAGTGGACAGTGTATGTTTATGGAAAAGGGTTAATTTCACAAATGGTCACTGAAGTTACATGAAAATAACAAAACGGTCACTGAAGTTTCAAAGTTTCAGCACCGGTCACTGAAGTTTGAAATTTCTTTCACAGACGGTCACTGAATTTTCAGATATTTTGGGCAAGTTTGAGGCATTTTTTCGACAAC